TGCCAGTATATCTTTTCCCCTGGTGAAGGCTGCACGTCTGTATTGAAACATTTGTGACAAAAATACACATTTTATCCATAAAAGATGTATTAACACTGGTCAGTTTAGATTTGGAAAGACACTCGGAATTTGAAATGTCTTAAGTAACTTTACGCCTGATAATTCAACCTGTTGCTGAATGTACAGTAAAGTTTCACGTATTCTTCGCTTTTATCAGTTATGTAGAAAGCTGAAACTACCAACCTATAATTCAGTTGTTGTAGGCATTAAAACACAGAACACCAAAATAAACATTTTAGTGGTGTGAACGCTCGTGAACTGTCAAGAGGAGGGCGGGGGAGCCTCGCTGCGGGGAAACTGTGGACCTCTGTCAGCGCAACTTAAATGATGCCGTTTAAAAGATGAATAAATTCACGGCTCGAACCGAGCCGTTCTGTGCCCCGTCTTATATATGTAATACTTATACTTATATACTTATACTTATATATTATTATACTTATATACTTAGGCCTATATAAGGCCTACTTAATATTTGATTACTGACACAATGTAGGCTACTTGGTCATCGTTGTTTCTTCAATTTCCGATCTAACTTTACAAACTTACTATTTTCCCCGAAAACCTGTTCCTTTTTGTACACAATATACTTTGTGATCGTTGTTTCTTCAACGTCTGCTAACGCTTCCTCGAAATCCTTAAGTGTTTGAAAGATTTTATGTGAAAGCATCCTGTTTGTTGCGCGTTGGCATCCTTGACAGACTTGTCTGTTGGAGGCTCGCGAGCGCAACAAAAGTTGCCGTCTCATCCACGACCACTATTACGTCACTTCCGCCGCATAAAACCCAGGAGGTATACGATCTAGCACTAACCATGGGACCATGGTTGCGGTCGAATAGTCCATTTAGCTTAGGAACCTTCCTAACGGAGTGAAATGACCCGGAAGTACCTCAGTGGCAGCCATGATAAGTGCCGTTCGAATTCTCTAAATGAAAGGAAAGGAGGTTTCAAACGTCCTTTATAACCTCCTTTAGCTTAGGAACCACTGGATCTCCCTAACCTAAAGGAGAGGAGAAAATGCTGCCCCACAATGCCTTGCGGCCGCGGCATTTGCCTTGCCGTCACACAACAGTCGGCCGTTCACGGAAACAACCGATTATGACCGAGAAATGATATCATGAAAGTTACGGTGCTTATTAAGCATTTTAAAAACGTATGTGGTAAGTTGCCAAAGTGCTTTGTTTTGAACGTTCATCAGTATTATAATCAAAAAGAGAAATATGAACGTTAGTTTTTACTGAAATGATCAAATAAAGTCAACATTTCACAGTCTTTACTGAGCTGTGTGGGGTTTGTTCAACTTTTAAAAGATGTTTGAATGGTGAAATACACAGTGATAGATGTTAAGGACTAGCGTTTATAATAAATACATTTGTATTGATTTTAAGATCTTTTCATACAATCATACGTATTGGGATCATTTGTATTAATGTGGACCGGAGGGAGAGGGTGACGAGCATAAGTTTCACTTTCCTTTTTTATTTCAATTCCAACTTTGGTCATGATGAAGAATATGTTTCTCTGTTGTCCCCGTTCATAAAGCATAAAACAACAGCACCAGAGCACGGTGCAGAGTCTCTAGATGAGTTTACAGTAGTCCCTCGTTCTTATTAAACATCCATGTTGTAGTCCGCTGTATAGAAAACTGTAGTTTCCCCACAGCAGCAGACGCACATTTATGACCTCCGCTGGCGCATCATAAACACGTCGGATAGTGAAAGTGCAGTCGGATTCTCTAAAGTACCGCAGTCTCTTCTCCTAAATCCTTTTGAATTCTCCTATCCACTATCCCTTAACCCCGTGACGTTTCACTCAGAGGTCAAGGAATAGACGATAGGGTTAGAACTTAGGAGCTGATTTTTGGACTATTCGACCGCAACCCGTGGTTGCGGTCGAATAGTCCATTTAGCTTAGGAACCTTCCTAACGGAGTGAAATGACCCGGAAGTACCTCAGTGGCAGCCATGATAAGTGCCGTTCGAATTCTCTAAATGAAAGGAAAGGAGGTTTCAAACTTCCTTTATAACCTCCTTTAGCTTAGGAACCACTGGACCTCCCTAGCCGAAAGGAGAGGAGAAAATGCTGCCCCACAATGCCTTGCAGCCGCAGCATTTGCCGTCACACAACATTCAGCCATTCACGGAAACAACCGATTATGACCGAGAAATGATATCATGAAAGTTACGGTGCTTATTAAGCTTTTTAAAACGTATGTGGTAACTTGCCAAAGTGCTTTGTTTTGAACGTTCATCAGTATTATAATCAAAAAGAGAAATATGAATGTTAGTTTTTACTGAAATGATCAAATAAAGTCAACATTTCACAGTCTTTACTGAGCTGTGTGGGGTTTGTTCAACTTTTAAAAGATGTTTGAATGGTGATATACACAGTGATAGATGTTAAGGACTAACGTTTATAATAAATACATTTGTATTGATTTTAAGATCTTTTCATAGTTCATACAATCATACGTATACTTGGGATCATTTGTATTAATGTGGACCGGAGGGAGAGGGTGACGAGCATAAGTTTCACTTTCCTTTTTATTTCAATTCCAACTTTGGTCATGATGAAGAATATGTTTCTCTGTTGTCCCCGTTCATAAAGCATAAAACAGCATCAGAGCACGGTGCAGAGTCTCTAGATGAGTTTACAGTAGTCCCTCGTTCTTATTAAACATCCATGTTGTAGTCCGCTGTATAGAAAAACTGTAGTTTCCATAGTTTCCCCACAGCAGCAGACGCACCTTTTATGACGTCCGCTGGCCGCATCATAAACACGTTGGATAGTGAAAGTGCAGTCGGATTCTCAAAGCACTGCAGTCTCTTCTCCTAAATCCTTTTGAATTCTCCTATCCACTATCCCTTAACCCCGTGACGTTTCACTCAGAGGTCAAGGAATAGACGATAGGGTTAGAATTTAGGAGCTGATGTTTGGACTATTCGACTGCAGCCCTTATTTCGGAAAAATTATGTATTGATGTCAATTATGCCACGAATTACACATGTTTGTCAATTTAAAAGATAATTTTGCAAGTCAAAATTTAAATGTGTCGTTAAAACTGTGAAGTACACATTTATTTGTGTGAAACGCTCAATGAACTACATCTCTGGTCTCGCACACGTCACCAACACCAAGATGGCCGTCACGTTGGCACATTTCACCTCTTTCTTTCAGAATAAGGCGAACAATCTGTTACCTAGACTTAGGTAAGGGTATATAAACAAATGTAGCTAGCTTTTAATCTAGATTTAAAAATGATTGCCAACCCCAAACAAAAGCATTGAGGGTTTAGTTGCTGTATAAATCAATACTATTTACATATGGTTTGATTCATTTGTTACAAATGACTTTAGCAGCTCTGGTCCAATTGAAGCAAATGGTTCAGTCATCCAAGTGATATCTTTCCATGTCGTATCATAATGTCATGCATTTGTGTTTTATCAAGCCAATCAGCTGTCTCTTTTGAGGTTGTTATTAAGTGATTAGAATGGTATGTGTCTAATTTTGGCAACCTACAGGTCTTAAAGTGGGCCCACGACGTGATTCCAAAAAGACGATTGGGAACTCCCGACTTCGAGTCCGAGGGACTGAAGGACGGCGGAGACCTCCTCCGGATTCCTATCAATACTCACAGGGCCAAAATCAAAGGTGAGCAGAAGCCTGTTGCTAATTCTGCATAGGTAGAATAGGACTGTTAGAAACTGTGAGTGTTGATGGAAGAACAAATCGTTATGACATCATAAAGTGGCCAGAATCTGATCTCATTTTCAGACAGGTTTTTATATAAATGGATTAGGACAAAAAGTTAGCAAATATTTTTTCCTGAAACTTTCACAATCTTTGTACACAGAGGGGACACATGTTATGTATACAAGACATGAACAAGTGGATTTTGCATAATAGGTGACCTTTAAATATTCTACAATTAAATAAGGACTAATGTTGTTAGTAAATTGCCCCGGGGGGTCAGAACAACACACTGAAGCAAATGTGCTTAGTTTCAGTATTACAACTAGGATTAATTTTCACCAAGGTGTCTGAGCATTTAGACCAGTTATGAAAACTTGCCAAAAGCACACATTCACAACACAAAAGGACTTTCCTGCCGGACAACTTTCTTTGTAGCAGGAAAAGAAAATGTCCAAAGTGTGGCCGGGTAACAATTTTGTTCACTATTCTTTTAGGTAAGAAAGATAGAAAGTAAATGTGAACACTACTAACAAACAAGATAAGTAAAGACCTCATTATATAAAGGCCCGTTTCGGTAGAATATATATTGCATTATAATTGAATCTGATGGATAGATCTGAAGCTGATCTTATTAAATATAAATAATACCTTGTAGTTAAAATGTATATTCAAAGTTATCAAACAAACCGAGGGAAGTTAAAAGTATTGGAGTAGGTACACTAGTTATGGTCTGCCACAATTTGGCACAAAAACAAGATTTTGAAGCACAAATCTATGGGCAAAATAAACCACACATCACAGAAATGATGCTCGGAATTATTTATTTACTGATCTATGAATCAGGTTTTCACAACAACAGAGACACATATCACAAACAGTTGAATTCATCTGAGAACACATGATGAGGTGACACAGATCACCGTCCGCCACTCATCCTCAGGAGGCTTCCTACTTGGGGCCGGTCCTACAATTATTATTTACTTTTTGGCCAACCATCCAATCAATTATTCAGAAAATGAAGGGCAAAATATTCTTCAAGGTCTGCTTGGGCACTGTTACTCTTTTGCCAATTGATCTTTTTGTCAATATGGTGATTTGTTCATGAGGTACTTTTAACATTTTTCATGTCCACATTGTGAATTTTGCCTCATGATAATTATTATGAGCAGCAAAAATATGCACTCTCTTAGAGTGCTTGATCAAGATAGTTTACGGAATAGAGTGGGTATTGTTTTATCAGTGATACAGACATAAAAACACATTAAAATGTATTATTAAAATGATTTCACTATCACCACTGGACAACACACAGGCATGTTGTCCAGTGCAGGCAAGTCGTTCTTCTATTCATCCACGAGTTAGCTTTATTGGAGTGGTGCGGGACTGATGAAGGAGGAAGAGGAGAAAAAGGAAGATGGAGGTATTGCGTCTGTGGAGAAGAGATTCAGTCACATTCAGTTTGAAGAAATGTATATTCATCAAGTAAATTGTTACATCTTATAACAGCAGAGTGTCAAGTCAAAGTTTTCAGATTTTGATAAAAATAATGTTTTATTGTGACCAGCAGAGGGAATCATCATTATAGCTGAACATGTATAATATACTTGATTATGTCTTACTGTAAGAGATATCAATATCAGAGTTTTGTTTCTGTTCAAATTTCATGTCGTGCCTGTGTTGCTTTAATATTGGTGTTTTCATAAAAGGTCATCTTTTAGCTTGCTTTATTGTCACACATATGGTTAATTATATTGTGATGTTTAAAAGCTGGTCTCAAAGAGGCAAGCTCACTGGCTTCACATAACTTTCTGCTTGCTTCTTATTCAACCACTATAGCAGTTGCTGCTATGTAAAGCTTCCACTACAGGTGAGACGCAATATATTTCTGTATTGTCGTATTTTTACTTACCATATCTAGTCCACGCTTCTCTTTCCTCTGTATATCACTGCAGAACAACAGGTTGAAATGACATTAGCGAAAAATAAAAATAATAATTTAACTTCTTAAAGGTGGGGTAGGTAATTTTGGAGAAACTAGCTCAAGTGCGCTAGAATTTGAAAATACACAACCGGAAAAAAATCTGCTACTTCCTTACAGAGCCCCTCCAACACACGAACGTGCACATGACCAATGAGGGCACGAGATAAGTTTGTGCACAGATGGAAGGCTGACAGGCAGGTAGGCCATCCAGTTATTTTAGCCGGGCCGGCTAAAATGATTGGTCGTGCTTTTTACAGTATTACGGCTTCCACAGATGACATTTTGTTATGGATTTTTTGTCAAAGCACTTAAGATATTCATTGCTATCGGGATGTTAAGAGCATTCCATGGAATATAACAAAAAGTATATCTCGAGCCGGTTTCTCAAACTTACCTACCCACCTTTAAAATAGTTATAAATATATTTTTGCATATTATAAACACTCACCTGTACCAAGGTTGCTGCCTGCGCAAGAGACTGAGAGGGCAGGGGAAAAAAGATTGAAATTCAGTCAAAATGTTGTCAATCATTTTTTTTAATGATTCAGCTATGCCACCTTTTTTGTCCTGTGGTGCTTGAATCGTCTTACTACTGTTGTGCTCCCGAATACAGAAAGCACTAGTGCTAAAACTTTTTCTGTTAAGAGCAATAAACAGAGGGTTAACTTTTAATATAACAAACAAAAGGACACATTAGCTCCAAACTAAATTCCTATATTATTTATCATCATAAACAACTGAGAGAGATGTCACAATCCTACTCCGAGTAGATCCTCTGGGCGCAGAAGAGAGAGGACTTTGCTACCCTCTGGTGTGAGCGGAGCCCCCACCCACAGTGTAGACCATCCACACACTGGATGTTGGGAACATCACAGCTGCTCTCCCCGGGGGAGGCGGTGCAGGTGTAGTTGTTCCCCTGCTGCCCACCAGCTCTTGTGACGTAGCTGTGGCTGCTGCCAGCACCGCGCCAGTGCACCCGCAGAGAGCTGTGGGCCATCCCAATAGAGCCGGGACGCCTGATGGACAGCAGGCACCTGAGGGAGAGAGAGAGAGATGAAGTGAGGTTTTCTGCAGTGGCTTTAATGTCAGAAAGATAACCAGCCCATTCAAAGAGAGCATGACAAAAATTGTTTTAATTTTGGAAACATATTTCACCGATCTGTCAAATGTTAATTCCTGACGCACATGAACAAAGCAGTCATAAATGGCTTTGAATTTTTAAAGTGCTGTTGTGTTGTTTTACAAAAAGGGTATGCACTCTACTGTTTTGTGTGGGTGTCAGAGCGCCATCTATTGGGCCACGAAGATAATGCTAAATGGTTAGATTAATAGAAGTAGGCTACAAACTATTTCTAGTTTTTTTTTTATAGCAGATACATTTTTTTTAACTATTTTTGTAATGTTATGTTTTTACTGTTTTGGTTTGGAGGCTTGGCCTCAAACATTTTTTGTAATCTTAAAAGAACTACAAAAAGTTGAGAACCCTTTTGTACAAATAAATATAAAAGTGTTTCAAATCCAATTTTATTGAAATTATTAACAGATTCCTATTTTTATATAGATACATACCATACACAATCATCTTCGATATGTATTGCTTCTTTTTTTTTTTTAATGATAAAAGTGTCATGTCAGTGCTTTCTGGTAGATAAACTAGCAATTGCCAAAGTAATTTTCTTTTCATTGGTAGAAAATCCCAATCACTTACTGGAGCAAGAAGCCCTCATAGGAGCAGTTTGACTGGCGCCCGCTGTGGCTGATCGCCTCCATGGAATGTGCACGGTTTGTTTGTAGTTGGTCCCACAGGTGATGCATCCCATGAGGCAGTGGGGGGTCCATGGTGTGGCAGTGGGCTGACCACGCGTGATGTTAGGGAAGTGATTCATGTATTGCGCCCCCCTTTAGAGGCGAGACCATGACACATTGCTCATTGCCTGCGTCACCTGATCCACTGTCAGATCCACCGGGCAGCACGGTCCTGTAGAAGAGGATGATAAATGTGGTTTAGGGTTGGAACACAAAACTACCATCTGTATCAAAATCAGAATCAGAATACCTATATTCGTCCCACAGAGGGGAATTTACATTTGTTACAGCAGAAAAGAGCAAAAGACAGCTTGATATTAACTAAGAAATCAGTTTTTATTACAAATATATCTGTGTTCGTATTGGTATTCCATGCTGAGGAACCCTGAAGGTGTTCTTGAGGCTGTAGGTGGCGCTACACGTCACTAGCATGCTATTATATTGTTGTTTTTAATTCCTGCCTGTGCTTTATATTAAAATGGTTCAATCAAAACTTTTGACCACTCACCTGTTTCCGAAAATTCAGAGTAGCTGGGTAAACCCAAGCCTGCGGGGCTGGTTGCTATGACGCTGACTTCAAAGTTAGAGCCACAAGGAAGGTCAGTGATGTCGCAGCCGTTTCCGTCGGTGTTGCAGGTGCGTGTGCCGTCATCTCCCGACGCTGTCACGGTGTAATTGGCAAGCCTGTTGTTTGCAGTCCAGCTGACACTGAAGCAGGAGGAGTTTCTCCGAGTCAACATCAGATTCATCGGCATGCATGGAGCTGACGGGTGGAGGAGAAGAGGAATTGAGAGTATGATCAAACCTTTGAGACTACTCCACATATAGTACATGAGGAATGGATGTGAAATTAATGAAGTGGCTGTAGGCCTATGTGTAGTTTTAAAAGATACTGTATAGCTCTCTGATGACCAGTCTAGTTAATAATATTAGATATCAAGCATTTGAAGTCATTCAAAACTTTTTTTTAACTGATGTTTTACTGCTGTTTAATGGGAAATCTGAAAATGAAATAAAGTGGAAAACGTTACAACTTAAAAATGTAACTGGATATTTGCTGGATACATGTGGGCACACGTTTCATACCTGTGCTTTGTGTGTGAGCTTTGCATGCCCGGTTGCATCCGCTGATGTCGTTGCAGGGTGTCACCACCACGCTGTAGGAACTGTCGCAGCTGAGGTCAGAGAGGGCGCACACCGGAGCCGTGTCGTTACACAGGATGACCTCTGAACTGTCTGCAGCTCGAGTCTGGTACAGCTCTGCCCCCCGAGAGGCCGTCCACGTGATCTCAAACGTGTCAGTGCTCACGGCGGAGATGGATACACCCTCTGGACAACAGGCCACTGAAGGACACACAGGGGGTGTGATACACAGAACATCATGAATTCAAATCTGTCCCCTCAGTGGCTACTTACAGGTGGTGTAGTTGAGAACCTGTCCTTCAGGACTGCTGCCAGCCTGGTTGAAGGCCATCACAGACATCAGGTATGTGTGGCCACATGTGCAGTTGTAGGTGCAGCTCCTGCTGGTGGTGTTGCAGCTCTCCTCTGCACCGTCTCCTCTCTTGATGAAGGCTGTGTAGCTGTCGACGTAAGTCACCGTGTCCCAGGTCAGCGTGCAGCTTCCTTCTGTCGACTCCACAACAGCCAGAGACTGTGGGGGGCAGGGGACTGACCGGACAGGACAGCAGGGAGTTTAGTCATATTTTAATGACAGAGGTTTTCAGAGCAAACTAATGCCGCCATCTTTTTTTTATCCATATCTAGCACTAATGTGTTAATGCTAGAATTACTACATAACATATGTTTTTCTCATTAAACAACTAAATGTAATCCTAACTCTTGTAGCGAAGTGTATGTTCAAAGTATCGGTTTTATTTTATATTAGATTTATCTATTAAATTGATGAGAAAATTAAGAATTCTTCTGATGGGAAGAAAAAGCTTTTTATGTATTTTATGTTTGAAGAGAATGTGGAGATTGAATTATCTTATAGCTGTCTCGTAAACAGATCATAAATATGCAAAGATTAATAGATTTGTCAACTTTAAAATTAATCAATTTTGATAATCCATTAATGGAAGGATCAGTGGTTCAAATTGATCCTGTAGTCACATTTATGGGATCGAAGTCCAAGTAACTTTGGATAAAAGTGATGCTAAATAAGATGTAATGAACTAAATAACTTCCAACCAACCAACACTTATACCTAATACAGTGTCTTGTGATTAATCCAATACTCCTTGCATTATTATAGCTTGCTCATTATATGTCTACGGTGCCCTATTACAAACAGATAGTTCACAAGTGTGATCGGAACTAAATGTAGTCTAATACTCACAGGTGATGAACACCACGGGGCCGGATGGGTCGCTGGGCCCGGCCTCGTCGGAGGTGCTGACCCGGACGGTGTGTACCTCTCCGCAGCCCACTGGAGACAGGGTGCAGGAGCTGGATGTGGAGTTACAGGTGAGGTTCTGGTCGCTCATCACATGGTACTGGAAGGACCCAAAGACTCCCTCATCCCGTTCCCAGGATACTGAGATACCGGCCAAACCGTTATTTATCACCATGGAGAAATTGGCAATAGATGGCACAGGAGGTCCTGTGAAAACATGCCCAATGATGCATTAGATAAAAGTACACATAAAGAGTAGAGTAGTATAATTAGAGTAATAGTTTCTAAATTACTCTTACCAGTAATGTTTCGTGAGGAAAACGTTATTACTAATAATACTGTATTCATCAGATGGCTGCCGTTCTTAGATATAGATGTCACAGCCTGAGGTTGAAAATATTTTATATAGTTCAAACCAACACAGAGACCCACTATTTCAGCATCAAATGACTGTTTACATGTCAACACTTATTTAAACATGGCTTTATAACTAGTTCTATTTGTACAGTTTTTGTATTCTTGTGATGGCATAAGTCTTTGTGGACAAATAAGACACTCCAGAGAAGACCAGTGCTACCTATGTGTCTTTTTGAATACCACCACTAGGAGTCGCCCAAGTTCAAATGTAGAACTTCTTAAATGGAGTAGTTTCCTTTATGAAACAAAGGGTTTTAATACTATTTCAAACAACTTCAGTTATGTTTTTTGTAGCTTATATAGGCTACATCCCATGATAATCATTTGAAGGAATCACTAGGAATATGTGGGCGGGACTAAGGACAATGACTGACTACAAAGGAGCAGCGGGGGGTGCTGCGGGAGTGTCTGCGTGCGCATCTCTCCCAGATGAGCTAAACAGTTTTTTGCACGCTTTGAGAGCAGCCAGGCTGTGGAGGTACAGAGGGACCAGGAGCTACACTGCCCTTTTGTTTTAAATAGGGCAGATGTGTGTAAATCCTTTAAAAGGGTTAACCCACACAAGGCTCCTGGACCTGATGGCATCCCTGGCCGTGTTCTCAGGGTGTGTGCAGTTCAGCGCTGGCAGAGGTGTTCACAGACATCTTCAACAGGTCCCTGCTGCAGTCTGTAGTCCCCACATGTCTTAAACACTCCACCATCATTCCTGTCCCCAAAAAGACAATCATCACCTGCCCAACGACTACCGCCCAGTAGCACTCACCTCCATCATAATGAAGTGCTTTGAGCGGTTAGTCAAATTATTCACCTCCTCCCTCCCTGAATCTCTGGACCCCCTGCAGTTTGCCTACAGAGCAAACAGGTCCACAGACGACGCCATAGCCCTCACCCTCCACACTGCCCTCTCACACCTGGACCCGAAGAAGAGGAACACATATGTGAGAATGCTGTTCATTGACTACAGTTCAGCATTCAACACCATTGTGCCCTCCAAGCTGGCCATCAAGCTCAGAGACCTCGGACTCAACAGCGCCCTCTGCGACTGGATCCTGAACTTCCTGACGGGCAGACCCCCAGTGCGGGTGGGAAATATCACATCCTCCACCCTGATTCTCAACACACGGTGCCCCTCAAGGCTGCGTGCTCAGCCCTCTCCTCTACTCCCTGTTCACCCACGACTGCGTGGCCACACACAGCTCCAACACATCGTGAAGTTTGCTGATGACACGACCGTCATCGGCCAGATCACAGACGATGACGAGACGGCATACAGAGAGGAGGTCGAAAACCTGACATCTTGGTGCCAGGAGAACAACCTCCATCTCAACATCAGCAAAACAAAGGAGCTGATTGTGGACTACAGGAAGCAGCAGGGAGAGGGCACGCCCCCATCGCCATCAATGGGACTACGGTGGAGAGAGTCAAAAGCTTCAGGTTCCTTGGGGTCCACATCACTGAGGACCTGACATGGTCTCTTCACACCACCACCATCACTAAGAAAGCGGCTCTTCTTCCTCCGCAGTTGAGGAGGTTCAAAATGGATTCCAGGATACTCTGCAACTTCTACAGGTGCACGATGAGAGGATCCTCACTGGCAGCATGACGGCCTGGTACGGCAGCTGCACCGACCTCGATCGTAAGGCTTTACAGAGGGTGGTGAAAACTGCACAGCACATCACCAGGACGAGCTGCCATCCATGGAGGACCTTTACTCCCAGCGGCTCAGGAAGAAATCACTACGGATTATCAAAGACCCCCAATCACCCCAGCCACAAAATGTTCTTTCTGTTGCCGTCGGCAGACGTTTACCGCAGCATCCTGGCAAGGACAAGAAGATTCGGAGACAGTTTTTCCCGCGCAGTGAGACTGTTAAAAAAATTGAACTGTTGAAACAACTTCAAACATTCAACTGCTACTCAGTAGTATGTAT